TGCTTACGTCCTACGGCATCCGCTGGAACGGCAGGTAGCGGAAGCTAGAGATTACAATTTATTTGTATTCTTACACAAATGCATCGATTCACTTCAGAAGGCCTTTATCAACTCCCCGGAGCCACTGTGTAGTACTTTTTATGATAGATTTATGCATCCATTATAAAGCTTGGAAGAGCCAGGACATTTTTTCATATAACTGATTGCGTTCATCTGAAAGAAGCAAGTCATATACACCTATGGCTTGAGGGTGAGTAAATCATGGGTTAATTTTCATTTTTGGGTGAACTATCCATTAAATTTCTGCCAGTTACAAAAAATGTTACCATATGACTTCAAATTTGACATTATTGTTATTCTGTCAATTAAATATCACTTGGTGCAGTACATTTTATACATCGCTGTTCAAATATTTGGGCTCGTTAAGATTTTTTCATATTTTTGAAAGAAGTCTATAATGCTCACCAAGGCTGCATTTATTTGATCAACAATACAATATTATTACATTTTAAAATAGCACTTTTTTATTTTGATTTATTTTAAAATGATTAACTTATTTAAAGTTGAATTTCCAACAGTTCAGTCGTCAGTGTCACATGAACCTTCAGAAATCATTCTAATATTGATTTGGTGCTCAAGAAACATTTATTATTATTAACCATGTTTAAAACAGTTGTGCAGCTTAAAGGGGATAGTCTGTCTCTCGCTCTCTCTCTCTCTCTCTCTCTCTCTCTCTCTCTGTGTGTGTGTGTGTGTGTGTGTGTGTGTGGCCGACTGAACGTGTGTGTGTGTGTGTGTGTGTGTGTGTGGCCGACTGAACACAGTTTAGACACTGGGTTTGTCTTTTTTTTTTCCCCTCTTTATGTGTTTAGATGTGTTTGCTGGCTGCATGGGGCGTCCAGATTGACCTTCATTTATAAATGACTCTCTCAGGTCTTTTCTTTGGCTGTAGGTGTGTATAGCGGATCGGCGTGTCTCATGTTATCTTCTATTTTGTTGTTCGTCCATGTTTCCTCTTTCATGTGTTTACAAACTGAACGAACTTAAAATGAAGGTGATGTCATCATTCACTTACCCTCAAATTGTTCCAAACCTGTATGAGTTTTTTATCTGTTGAACATAAAATAAATTTTGAAGAATGTTGGTAACCAGTTGACGGTATCCATTGACATCCATAGTATAGAAAAAATACTTGGAAGTCAATAGCTACTGTCAACTGTTTGGATACCTTCAAAATATCTTCTTTTATGTTCAACAGATAAAAAAAATTCATACAGGTTTGTAACAATTTGAGAGTGAGTGAATGACGACATAATTTCCATTTTGGGGTGAACTATCCCTTTAATATTTTTGTGGAAACCGTGATACATTTATTAGCAGAAAAAAGACCATTTGAAATGGACAATCTTTTTTGACAATTGTTTTTACTATCACGTTTGACCCATTAAAACTGGTCCTTGTTGAATAAAAGTATTAATTTATTTAAAAGAAATTAGAATTGAATTAGATTACTATCAGTTGTATTTTATACATTCTTGGAAATAATAGTTTCAGCTAGCATTATGAGTCAGGGAGAGAGAAACAAAATGAACAGTGTTGAACTGAGGGGGTACATAGGCTTAATGCCAGTTTGTACCACTGAGTGTCTCTGTTGGAGTTCATGCCTGTGATTTCAATACTGGCTAAACACTAATAAGTGTGTGTGTGTGTGTGTGTGTGTGTGTGTGTGTGTGTGTGTGTGTGTGTGTGTGTGTGTGTTGGTTCTATGTTTGGGTGGAGTTGTTCCCTTTTCCCTCAACTCATCATACCTAAAATCAACATTACTATTTTAAATCTAAACTTAATTCTTAGGTCAAGACATTAATCAAAGAACTGACAAACCTGGTTACAATGTGCTGAAATGTTGTTTTGAGTCCAATTTGACCTGCTGGAGGAAAGAAAATTCAAACATAATTTGTTGTTGTTGCACTAAAGGCCTCCCAGTTGCAGCAATTACAGATTTTTTGTTTTTATATATAGAGACATGCTGGGTATGCAATCTGTATCTACAGTGTATTTCTGGAGTGCTGCGAGTTATGAATGTACTGCTATTTAAGTGTGCCATCCCCTCGTACCATTCATTACTCAGACATAATATTTCAGGTTAATGGTGCATACGGCAAGTTTCACAACACTGTAATCTTGGGAACACACAGCTCTGGAAACCATCCATCTAGTAGTTATTGTGATGCCAGACTCAGACTTCGCTGCTAAGACCGATGACCTTTCCATGATCAAAACCAAAGTCACATTTAGATGGATTGGGCAGTTTCACAGCTTGGTGGTGCATTAAATCTGGGGTTTATGCGATGCAGCATAATGGGGCCTGACACAGACGTGCTTGGATTTTAACACATCGAATGATTGTGTTTCTTATCTGAATTCATCTATTATAATTTTGTTTGAAATTACATTGATTTTAAAGTCACTTTAAAGGCCATATTTCCCCCTGCTTGCCAAAACCATTGCTCCTGCTCTCTCTTTGTTGGCCAAAACAGTCCCACAACTGAATTGCAAAGGTCTTGGTAATTAGGGACAACTGTGCAAGACAACCAAAATGCATCGCTTCCAATTCTAATTAAACGGAGAATATGTGTTTTGATAGGAGACCAGTGGCTGAGAATCTCATCCAAATGTGTGATGTTTCACTCCATGCTAAATTTGGTGTAAAATGGATAATCGTGCCTGGCTCCGGGTGTTCTCTCTTTCCCCGCTTTATGTTCCAGCATTAATTTGATTGCCTCATTTACAGCCAGCTCCAGTGCTGTTGCCAAGGATACAGGAAACACTTTTATTGGTCTGTTTGTATCCAATCTTTGTATAAAGCTGGTATTGAAGCGTGGAAACTCTACAAACATCTGACACAATTGCCAAGGGCATATATGCATGTAAGAGACAATCATAAAGGACAGAATTATTTGCACATAAGCCACTCTGAGGGAGAAAAAGGGGCAAACCTGATTTTATTGTCCTTTTTAAAGCACAGTTGTTCTAATAACCGCAGCAAAACATGAATTACTCACTTATTAAAGGAATAGTTCACACAAAAATGAGAATTTGTTGAAATTTTACTGACCCTCAGGCCATTAATGATGTAGGTGAGTTTGTTTCTTCATCGAAACAGATTTGGAGAAAGTTAGCATTACATCATATGCTCACCAGGATGGTCTGCAGTGAATGGGTGCCGTCAGAATGAGAGTCCAAACAGCTGATTAAAACATCACAATAATCCACAAGCAATCCACACAACTCCAGTCCAGCAAGTGACATCTTGTCAGGCGAAAAAGCTGTGTGTTTCTAAGAAACAAATCCATAATGAAGATGTTTTAACTTTAAACTGTCACTTCTGGCCAAATTACAAGTCCAGAATCCATAATAAAGCTTCATCTCCTGTTGTCCTCTCACATCACTGACATATTTGTTTAGAACTGTTTTGGACTGTTTTCATGTTTGATCTGTGCATATTTCTTTCCTGATTCAGACAAGATGACCTTTTCACTGGAAAAAGCAATATTATGTATAGAGGACTTATGGAAGTTATTTTAGCTGGAAGTAGCAGTTCTAAGTTAAAAATGGCTTAATAATGGATTTGTTTATTACAAACACACAGATTTTATTATTGTGATATATTGTGATGTTTTTATCAGCTGTTTGGACTCTCATTCTGACGGCACCCATTCACTTTAGAGGATCCATTGGTGAACTAATGCTTAATTTCTCTAAATATCTTTTGATGACGAAACAAACTCCTCTAAATCTTGGATTGCCTGAGGGTGAGTACATTTTCTGCACATTTTCATTTCTGGACAAACCATTCCTTTAAAACAAATTAATGAGTGATTGGATTGACCTTTACTTTTAGGTCTGTCATATTACAGTGAGAGGGAGAACAGATTGCATGTTCATTCAGAAATCAATCACACTGCACAGTACAAATTATTATCGGTATAAAATCCAATAAGCCAATCATTACTTGGCACGTGACATTCAGGATTTAAGATGCTTTTCTTCAGTGCCACGAATATAAACAAGTCACGTTATGATACACTGATACAAGCCCTGCTTCCTATATAAATATATCCCAGATAAATTTTAGTAGTGTCCAAAATGTCGTCCTTGTATAATGCTCATAAACACTGATCTCATCATAGCTGCCTGTCTGAGAACAAATTATAGAGCAACCACAACGAAATGATATACAGTATGGATTATGATGTGTCAAGCAGTAATTCAAATGGACAGCATGCGTGCTGGTGGTTTATCTGATGGGTTCAGAGCCAACCAGCAAAGATGTTTCATAATTGTGTCATCATCTCCCAAATGAAGAGGGATAAAAAAGCTTTGTACTGGGGCTCCTAAGTAAAATAG